GTTGTAATATGGTGCTACGAATGGCGAGACTCACTGATGATGCCGACTACGATGTCGGCGAAACATTTGTCAGGACAAGGTGCGTTTCCTATAAGTCTTCCTACCAATATGACCAAGTTGCGAAAACAAGGTCAAACAAATTCTATACTTAATTTATGCTTTGCTATCTACCAAGATAGATGGACCATCAAGTATGGACAAATGAAATAGAGGTGGATGAGCAAAGAAGTCACAAATACAGGGGCATAAAAAATTTAGTACAGACTTGAGTACACCAGTTTGTTTCTACATTTGTCAAATATCTAAAATGGGCCAGTCATTTGATTTTTTGACAACGTTTAGCAAATAATTTGATCCATGCTCTAATAGATTCGCCATTTTTATTAAAATGCTCTAGTAAAAGTTATAAAAAAATACAATTGTAACATTATACTACGATTAATTTATTTGTTTAAACACGTATTAAATCTACGCTTGCATTTGCACCGAGCTCACCACTTCAGCTGATACCGCTCCCTTGTCTGTGCTCCGCTTCGCCTCGTTATGCCCGTGATTCTCGGCTACTGGAATATACGCGGTGTATGTACATTAGAGTTTTAGTTTACTATTTTCATGATATTGCGGTTGGTTATTTCAATTATGCCTTTAGCTTGCAGCCCCCATACGGTTGGCTCTCCATTTTTACGGGGAGGAATATAGGGAGGAGCTTTATGAACAAGGAGACGCTCCCAACTTTTCAAAAGCTGAATGGAAAGATAAAAAAGATAGTCTTGGTTACGACTTTCCAAACGTGAGTCCTTGATTGAATTATGGCTTAGTTGCCTTACTTCCAAGATGAAAATCTTAAGCTCACTCAGTCGACTCCTATCCTTCGCTACATTTCCGAAAAGCATGGAGGCGGTGAGCGATTACTTGCTTTAATATAACTTCGCTTAGGTGGTTCTACTCCAGAGCAACGCGCCAAGTTAGGGATGATTCAAGATAAGATCACGGATTTGCGTATGGCCTTTCTTAGAGTTTGTTATGGCCCTGCATTCGTAAGTGCCGTATGCTATATTTTATCTTTTAGGGATTGCATAAGGCTGTGTTCCTTACTTCGCTTCCTCGTCATCTTGGCCTTTTGAGCAATTATCTGGGTTCCAAGAAGTGGATATCTGGCGATAAGGTGCGTACCTTCCTACTTATTTAGATAGGTCGACTACCCTGATTTCAACTTGTGGGACCTTTTAGACACTCTTAAAACCTTCAAACCCAGTTGTTTGGATACATTTCCT